CCTCATGTACTCTGGAATGATGACCACGCCTAAGAAGGTTTCAACCCTTCTGCATTCTTCCCCTTTAATCTTTTTCCTCCATTTCTGAGCTTCTCTTCTCCTCTTTCCTTTTTTCCTCTTGACATTTGATCTATATATTTTTTCTTTCCCCTTTCTACCAGGTTCTTATTTTGCATCGAACTTCTACTAGCTGTTGAGAGTTTTTTGTTTTGTTTTTGATTTGCGTGTGTGTGTTTAATTTTTTTTTTCCTTGTGCATGTTATTCTTGGAGACAAAACTGCCCCAGCTTGGGTGATGGAAGGGAAGGGGATGGGAGGCCTGGGTGGGAAGGTGGGGGAGGGCCATGGCATCCCCTCTGGGACATTGCTGTCTGCTGGCCCACCAGGGCATGGGAATCTTAGGGTCACCAGGGAAGCTCCCAGAGTACAGGGTGGGGGCACTTCTTCCCAAAGAGACAATGAAACAGTGAGTGGAAGCCCCCGCCCCCTGACCGCAACTCACCCCTCCCACCCCCACCCCCGAGGTTAGTCTCCTGCCTGGAAAAACAACCCCAGCTGCCATGGTTACATCCGTTCCTCCAGAAATGGAACAAACGCCACAAACCAAGGCACAGTGAGAAGTCGCTGCTGGGCAGTCCAGCCTTCGAGTCCAGGGTCACCTGAGCCTGTTACCCCCTCCCCATTGCTAGATCCACTTTGCGCTTCTAGCTCTTCATGGTCATGACATGTATCAGATTTCTCAAGACCATCTGATGACCTGATGAGGAAACAGAAGCACAGAGACGTAGAGGGGCATCCCAGAGTCACACAGTTATGGTTTCCTGATTCCAAATCCCAAGTAGGCATTGCTCCAAAAGCACAGCAGATGGGGTATTTAGCACAGGACAAGCACCCTCTGTTCCTTAGTGGGTTCAGATGCAATTATCGCACAGTGAGATACTGATCACCAATGCACAGTCCAACGGGTTCTGGCTTCTCTACCTACGAAGGCAGAGTAAAGCTTATGGAATGGTGAGAGTTTTCCCTGAAAAGCATTTTAAAACATTTTCATCTTTAAAGGAAGAAGTCCTTAGCAAGCAAGAAAATTTGGCTCTCTATAAAGAACTAATTTCCTGGGGTTTTACTGACTTTGGCTTTTTACTTTAAAGTCAAAGGGTAATTTCATTTACAGATAGTCTTTTCAGACAACAAGACTCCTCTGAGGGTCAGGACCCTACTACCACATAGGATGACTTTTTGGGAATCAGAAGAAGGTGTCCCTTTCTCAGTACATTTATTTCCATCTGTCAAAACATTGTCGTATATGATGTGGGGTGGGGAGAGACAGAGGGTTCTCAGTACATTTATTTCCATCTGTCAAAACATTGTCGTATATGATGTGGGGTGGGGAGAGAGAGAGGGTGGGGAAGAAGAATGGGTAAAGGGTCACAAAAATCAACTACAATGTATATTGAGAAGTTAAAATAAAATAAAATAAAATAATTTTGAGGAATGGGTAAAGGGTCACAAAAATCAACTACAATGTATATTGAGAAGTTAAAATAAAATAAAATAAAATAATTTTAAAAAATAAATAAACATTGTCATAATATACTGATTTGTTAGACTGAGACATTTAACAACCATCTGCCAGAAAATTGTCAAGATAAATATCACAAATCATGCCTATGAAATGAACAGTGTCCTTGTATTATTTATCTATTGCTGTATAAAAACAACTCTAAAGCTTAGTGGCTTAAAACAAGAATAAGCATTTATTGTCTCACCATTTCTGTGGATCAGGAATTCAGGAGAAGCTTAACCTTTCCATAGGGCATCCTCAGAGCATGGCAGCTAGGTTCCACCAGCACAAGGGATCGAAGAGAAAGCAGGGCTAAAACAGCAATGTCTTTTATGACCTTGCCTCGGAGGTCACATATCATCTCTTCCACAGATCTTATTGGTTACACAGGTCAACCTTACTTTTGTGGGAGGGGACTACACAAAGACATGAAATGTTGCCAGCAAGAGTCAAGAATCACTGGTGACCATCTTTGAATATGCTGCCACCTCCCCCATAGATGTAGTGCCGTTGTATAGTTGACAACCTGCACAACAGTAATTTCAGCACTGCTAAGGACAACTCTTGCCACGGACCTTCACCAACTCTGTGCCAGGACTGTGCTAAGCATTTAATGATAGTATCTACCTTCAAGCAGCTTACAATCTAGCAAATACACCAAGACACACATAAATTTAGTTACAATACACAGTAGAGTCAAATAAACCAGGTGTTTGTTTTAAAACAGAGATCATCAAGTGTTCTGGAGACCAAAGGCTGGAGAGACACAGCATCTCATTTGAGGGATGGGGAAAGGGTTATCTGCATGGGATGATGAAGTGTGGGAGGGATGTAGACTCCTGGAGATGCAAGATGTTGGATGTTTTCCAGCCAGGACCACAGCATGAGCACAGGCGTGCAGGCTGAGGATTTATGTTTGGGAATTGGAGAGTAGAGGGGACAGGGTATATTTGGGGCACATCAGAGGGGAGTGTTGTGGCCACTCACCCCATCCAGGTGATTGCCCACTCACAGCTGTGCATGGGAGGTATGATAGGAAAGTCTGCTTGAGCCTCAGCTTGATTTTCTCCTCTCCTCTCCACTTCCTCCCCCCACCCCCCATCAGAGCTTTGTCAAAACGAGCACTGATTTCTATAACTTTGTCATCTCAAGAATATTGTATAAATGGACTCATACAGTATACAACCCATTGGGATTTGCTTTTTTCACTCAGCATAACTCCTTGGAGATTCCTCAGGGTTGTTGCATGTATCAATAGTTCCTTCCTTTTTACTGTCGAGTGTATTCCACGGTATGGATGTACCACAGTATGTTTAACCATTTACCCGTTGAAGGACATCTAGGTTGTTTCCAGTTATTGACTACTATGCATCACACAGCTATAAATATCTGTGTACAGGTTTTTGTGTGGACATAGTTTTCATTTCTCTGGGGTAAATGCTCATGAATTCAATTGCTGGCTCATATGGTAGTTACATACATAGTTTTTTGAGAAGCTGCCAAATCGTTTCTCAGAGTGGCTGTACCATTTTACATTCTTACCATCAATGTACGAATGACCCAGTTTCTCCACATCCTCACCAGCATTGGTGTTGTCACTAATTTTTCATTTTAGCTACTCTAATGGGTATGTAGTGATATCTCATTATGGGTTTAATTTGCAGTTCCCTAATGGCTAATGATGTTGAACATCTCTTCCAATAAGATGGCTTACTTGCCATATGTATTCCCTCTTGGGTGAACCTTGCTATATGATGACCACAGTTGTGTCCCTGTAAGCTCTGTTAGAGCAGGGGCCTTTTTGGTTTGTGCTCTGTGCATCCTCAGAGCCCCCATCTCTTCCAATAAGATGGCTTACTTGCCATATGTATTCCCTCTTGGGTGAACCTTGCTATCTGATGACCACAGTTGTGTCCCTGTAAGCTCTGTTAGAGCAGGGGCCTTTTTGGTTTGTGCTCTGTGCATCCTCAGAGCCCCGTATGGTGCCTGGGCTGGCACAGGAAGAATAGCCAATGGGTATTTAGAGAATGAATGCATGGCCTGTGGGGAGTCTGGCCTTTTAAGGATGAGAACGTGGGGAAGCAGCGAGTCCTTAGCTCTGGGAAAACTCCTGAGCACCTGGATGGTGGGATTGCTTAGGGAAGGCCCAGACTGCTCCATGATGGAGGAGAAGAGAGGGGGGAGGAAGGAGCCCTCAGGACCCCCCCATGGTGCCTCCACCAGCTCCCTGGTTCCTCCAGGCCCCCCTCAGAGCACACATCACAGGCCTGGCACTTGTCACTCCTCCCCTCCCCCGCCTCTGCTTTCCCAGGGCAAAAACATCCAGAAGATGGGAGGTGGGGCTTTCAGGTTTTGTTTTTCTTGTTTTCTCCCCACTTTAACTGTACCAAGATAAGGGTCTGGCCTTTGCTAGGATTTATCTATGGGCCACATTCAAGCTTTGCCGTAAGTAGAAGGGCCCCACATGCTCTGGCATAAGCCGATTTTTGTCCAGGTTGAATATGTTAACTCGAGCTGTGAGTGGTGCTTCCTGAAAGGAGGGCAATGCGCCAGTTGTCCTTTGTTCTGTCCTTCTCTCTCCTGGTGGCTACCACTGGCCACACTTCATGTATAACATATGTAACAATAATGCATCTCAGAAGAGGCTTCTCCTACAGGAGAATATATTATATTTTTGTGAAGATAATAGAATTCAGACATGGTAAATTAACTAAAAATGCACTTGCATTTAGATTGAATTTAAATATTTATAGGTGAAATGGCTCACAGATATACATATATAGGTTGTTAGTATTAGAAAAAAAATCAAGAATTGTAAATGAAAGGAAACTTCAACTACACTGAAGCCAGGAGTAAGGTCAGGAGGCAAAACATAAGCTTTCTGGTAGCCAGTGCAAAATATGCATCTATTATGGAGTCGGAGGATTTGTGAAGCAGACCAGAGCTTCTTCTCAGCAGAAGTGCTGAGTGGTCCTCGATCTGCAGCTGTTGTGTGAGTAAGAGGTGGATACAGTGCCTGTAGCGTGCAGAACAGTCGGGTTTCATGGAGCTGTTCATCCTGGTATCCCGCAACTGCACGTTAACAAAGTGGAATTCAGTGAAATAGAGCCCTCGAGGAACCTCTAGAGCCTTTGCTAAGTAGCTCTCACCAGCTGCTCAGAGAGAAGCCAAACTCTAAGAGTTTGGGGGTCCAAAGAAAAGAGCCCAGTGATCCAGTGAGTGAAAAGCCCCACCTGTGAGCCAGGCAGTGAACTGTAGTGAGATGTGGCAAAGCTCAGAGGTAGGAGGGCCAGACTTCTAGTGGAGGGGGAGCCCTTAAACAAAGCGGGTAGTGCGGGGGAGCGAGTGGTCCAGAACCCGGAGCTGAGCCCCCTCCTAGGGCCGTGCTCGCTAACCCAGTCTTCCCCTCTGTGTGTCCCTGCAGGGCTCTGGCTGAGAACATGGCCAATGGCATTGACGAGCTCATCGGCATTCCCTTCCCCAACCACAGCAGCGAGGTCCTGTGCAGCCTCAACGAGCAGCGCCACGATGGCCTGCTCTGCGACGTGCTCCTGGTGGTGCAGGAGCAGGAGTACCGGACTCACCGCTCCGTCCTGGCCGCCTGCAGCAAGTACTTCAAGAAGCTCTTCACGGCCGGCACCCTAGCCAGCCAGCCCTATGTCTACGAGATCGACTTCGTGCAGCCCGAGGCTCTGGCCGCCATCCTGGAGTTCGCCTACACCTCCACGCTCACCATCACCGCCTCCAACGTCAAGCACATCCTCAACGCCGCCAGGATGCTGGAGATCCAGTGCATCGTGAACGTGTGCCTGGAGATCATGGAGCCTGGGGGGGACGGGGGGGAGGAGGACGACAAGGAGGATGATGAGGACGACGAAGATGATGACGATGAAGAGGATGAGGAGGAGGAGGAGGAGGAGGAGGAAGAGGATGACGATGATGACACGGAGGATTTTGCTGACCAAGAAAACTTGCCTGACCCCCAGGACATCAACTGCCACCAAAGCCCTTCCAAGACGGACCATCTCACAGAGGAGGCCTATTCAGACACACCCAGGGACTTCCCTGATGCCTTCCAGGCTGGCAGTCCCAGCCATCTGGGGGTGATCCGGGACTTCTCCATCGAATCTCTGCTGAGGGAGAACCTGTACCCCAAAGCCAACATCCCTGACAGGAGACCCTCCTTGTCTCCATTCACCCCAGACTTCTTCCCACACCTCTGGCCAGGGGACTTTGGTGCCTTTGCCCAGCTGCCCGAGCAGCCCATGGACAATGGGCCCCTGGACCTGGTCATCAAGAACCGGAAGATCAAGCAGGAGGAGAAGGAGGAGCTGCCCCCACCCCCGCCACCACCCTTCCCCAATGACTTCTTCAAGGACATGTTCCCTGACCTGCCTGGGGGGCCGCTGGGCCCCATCAAGGCAGAGAACGACTACGGTGCCTATCTCAACTTCCTGAGTGCCACCCACCTGGGGGGCCTCTTCCCACCCTGGCCTCTGGTCGAGGAGCGCAAGCTGAAGCCTAAGGCCTCTCAGCAGTGCCCGATCTGCCACAAAGTCATCATGGGGGCCGGAAAGCTGCCACGGCACATGAGGACCCACACCGGGGAGAAGCCATACATGTGCAACATCTGCGAGGTCCGCTTCACCAGGTGCGCACCGCAGCCCACCGGGAGGGGCCGAGGGGCGTGGGGACAACTGCAGAGGTGGGCACGGAGGGTGGGGACGGAGAGAGACACCCAGCTGGATCCCAAACACACATCAAGTTCACTGCTAGAGGGGATGCTAGGCATTACCTGGTGCCATGACTTTCAAACCCTGTTAGGAGCTAAAATATTTTCTCAAATACAGTATTAGGCGGAAGCCTAAGACATAAAACAGGTGACAGCAAAGCTGTCTGGGTGAGACAGAAGTGAAGGGCCTGAGCACCTTGCCCGCCAGGCCTCCCTTTCTCCTTCCCCACCGTAAATCCATGGAACCCAGTTTGAAGCTCCCCAGTGGGGTGCAGCCCCTTCCTTTTATTTAGAGAAGCGGCTCGGCCCTTTATTAAGCACCTTCTGCATGCCAGGGGCTGTCCTAAGTGCATTACGCACCCTCACTCCCCAGCCATGTCCTGGGAAGATGGGGAGGCTCTATCGCCCTGTTACATCCACCTTCCCGGGGCTCCTGGCTACTCCTAAGTGCAGCTGGAAAATGGCAGAGCTGGCACTTGAATCCCATCCCCTGTGAGACAGCTAAGTCTGTGGCCAGGAGACTGCAGAGACCCCTGTAAGCCCTTTCAATCATTTTGGGGTCAGACCTTAAAGGATGAGCCTCTTCCATGTTCTCCTCTTTGCCTCTCTATGTTAAGAAGAGGAATAATTTTATGCCATTATGAAATTTGAAATCAATGTGTTATAAACCTTTCATCTTTCATAGACTCCATCCCATTCAGCAAACGTGTGTTATGGACGTTCTTTGAGCAGCAACTTTTGTAGTCTAAACTGATGGGTGGGATGATGTGGGTTCAGATCTGTCCATTGTGAGGCTTTGATGGGCCTCACTTTTGGAAAATGTGGTCTGTTGGTGCCATTTGTGGTCCCTGGTGCAAAGCTAACCCATGTCCACAGCAGGGAGAGTCCCAGTGAGTGGCCGTGCACCAGACTGGCTCATTTCAGTGTGTTGGGTGTGGACAGAGCCTAGAAGTAGCTGCCTTGTGACGGTGACTTACCAGATGAGGTCTTTCTCACACTGCCACTGACCCCCTCAAAGAGCTCACCTTGAGAGACCCATACTTCCTCTAATGGTGCTGCCATTGCTCCACATCCTCTTGGAAATTTATCTTTGGAAATTGCTGGAAGCTTGTTCTTTCAATTTTCTTCAGTGGGCCCAAAGCTTTGGCATTCAAGGACAGAATGAAATTTTTTAACCAGGTTGGATATCAAATCAGAAACTATTCTTTTCCAGGAAAAACAAGATGAATCCTATAGAGTAATGAGTCCAGGGTAGCTTGGAAACTCTATTTGGAGTTGCCAGAGAAGAGTTTCAGAAATATGCTCAGGTGTCAGTGGCATTGCTAAAGTAGCTCTGCAGAGTCCCCTGGTGAATGTTTTGAAGGACAAAACTGATTGTTTCCAAGGTAGCCTTGGGGTCCTGCTCACAGCTGCTTCTGGGAGGGAAATTCTAAACAGAGTCTCTCCCGGATGCTACCAGGTGACAGTGGAGGGAGAATCTGCAGGGGCAGGGCCCTCCATACCCAGAGTGTGCCCCTTTCTCCTAGCCCACCAGCAGTGCTGGCATCCAGGCACTCTGCTCCCATTACCCCACACAGCAGCTGCACCCAAAGTCCCCGAGATTCACCTCCCCTTGGGTGTCCCTCCGTAGCAGCCCTGCCACCCTGATGCCACCTCCACCTTCCACCCTGCCTTCTGCTGAATTCACCTTAGCCCCACAGGGCCAGGCTAGAGTCCCTAAACCAGGCTTGACAATAGCACAGCAATGACTGAAGAAAGACACACCGGAGCACCACGTGGAACGAAACAAGCTGAATTCGAGTACAGTTCACTCATCTTTGGCTGGGGCCTTGCTCCAGCCAATGATTCCCATTCCCTGGGAATGACCTCAAAGTTAGACAGTGACGTTCTTCACAGGCCAGATCTGAGAAAGCCAGCGCCAAATCAGCCTAGAGCGCCCCCTCCTGCCCACCCTGCCTCCACCTTCCTGACTTCCCCTGCCTGGCCTCTTGGCTGATACTGGAAACACCTCTCCCTTTGGGGTAGATCTAGCCAGGTGGCTTCAACAAGGTGCACATCTCAGGGTTCCACACAGTGAGCCCAGCCAGCACCCCGTGTCCCTGTTTCCTTTTTTCCCTGCTCCCTCCCCTCTGGACCTTTCCCACGCACAGCTATGCACGGTGGCCAGCCTATGTGCCCTGCCTTCCCTAAGGAAAGATTCAAACTTGGTCAGTCACTGCAGACAGCCTTCTTGCCCTCCAGACACTGGAACATTCTCCAGGAGTAGGCCTCCTAGTCTGAGCAGAGATAGCCGTGTTGTATAGGAGGGTGACATTTCAGAATCCTCCCTCCCAGCACATTCCTAATGGTCACTTAGGGTGGCCTCTGTGTCTACAGTCTCCCGACCCCTCCAGGCAGGATCAGCCATGGAATGGTTCCGGCCATCCGGCCATCTGTCCTGCCCTCTCTTGGGTTACTCCTGCTCTGCAGAAAGACAGCCATCTGGCCCCAGGCCTGTGTCCTGCTGAAGCAGCTGCATTCCAGACTATCAACACCTCCCCTCACCCAGCTCCCACTGGGCTCTGACCCTCCTGAGAAAGATCAGACAAGCTCTTGGGGCCCCTCTTCCCAGGAGCAGAGAAACCCTGGGGAGGGGAGATTCTTTTGGCCTGTCTCCGTTGGGGCCTGACTTCTCCCCGTGGGCTGTGGTTATCCATGCCCAACACTCCCATTCCCCCCCCCATCACATTCTTCACAATCACTGGTCCTTACCTTCCCACCCCCTCTCCAGAGCTGCCCTGCAAGGATTCTTTTCCATCCTTGAAGAGCCCCAACCCTGGCCTGTCCAGGTTGGAGTTTCCTGCAATTCTCTCTGTAGCCAAGTCCCCATGTAGCCAACTTCCTGTGGGGACCTTGTTTTCAGCTGGATCCCCCCCAACCATGATCCACAACACCTTTCCCTCCTCCCCACCTGGAGGCTCTTCAGCAGCCACTTAGAGCAGCCATGGCTGCCTCGCTGACCCAAGACTGGGCCCCTCAATGTCCCTCTCACCCCCCAGGGGCCGGGAGGGACCCCGGACACGCTTCCCTCACATTCCCCTTATGGAGTGCGAGTCTTAATCACAGCTGAGCTTCTGCTCATTCCTCCCTCCTCGATGCTAGAGACAGCTTAGTGTCCTCTGACCCCACCGCCACCCTCCTGGGGGAAGATGGAGGGGCCTCCCCTTCCCCTGCATTGTGGAACTCTGGCTAGGGCTCTACATTACAGCATCCCAGATGCCAACTCCCAGAATGTCCACACTGCTTGGGGACATCATTCCTAATGACTTCAGCAGCCACAACCAAGGTGTAGGGGATCCCCTTCCACATGGAAGGCTTAGGGTGCTGCTTTCATTCCACAGGTCTCTGAGAGGAGAGACTGAGGCCTCCCACACCGTGGTATTGTCTCCTCTACTGTGTCTGCCTCCTCTTAATTCCCGCAGCATGGCTCCTTGAGTGCAGCCCACGGGGACTTGCTCCCGCCCCACCCGGCCCCTCTGTGGGGAGCTCCTAAAGTCCAAGCCTGGCCCTTCTGCCTCCTGTAGCCCCTGCATCCTGTGGCAGCCTGTCTCTGAGAGGTGTCCAAGCCACATCTGATGGGACAAGTAGAAATCACAAGACGAGAAGAGACTGGCCTCCAGGACAACAGAGGTCCCATGGAGGCCACACTGTCCTGGGGAAGGATGGGCACCTCTGTACCCTAACAAGTCACTCTCTAACAAGCCATGATTTTACCAGTTTCTGCTGAATCCCCTACCAATATCCTAAAAGGCTGCAACTTTTAGTCTCCAACACCAGCCAAATGCTGACCACCCCCTCCACCCCGACAGCTGTCTGCTCTCCAAACAAGGCCAGGAGCCAGCTTTCCCCCATCCCCCCCTTTTTATTTTCTTTTTTAGTCCTCCCACTCCTGGCAGCTCTGGGAACCTTATTAAGATAATGTAATGTCATTAGCAGTGGTAGCAGGAAGTAGCAGTGGTAGCAGGAAGAGAGTTTGTCTCAGGCCATCAGGTTACCAAGAAGTCCGGGCAGATGGTGCTGGGAAAGCATTATCATGATTGGGAGCCTTTCTGGAGGCTGTGGACCTTCAGCCCAGCCCCGCAGCCCTTTTCTCCCATTCAGGGAATGAGCTCATGAGGACTCATGTGTCTTTCCCGACGACGAGCTCTCGGAGCTGGAAGGGAGCACGCAGATCAAGGCTTGGGTGCATATGACCTTTCCCAGGTCCCTGATGCAGGCAAACGGAATGAGATGGCAGGCAAGAGGATCAGGGCCAGAGAGGAGCACGTCAGATTTGGAGTTGGGCAGTTCTGAACTTGGCCTTGCTCGTCACTGCTCAATCAACAAACACGTGATGAGCACCTGCTGTACCTATAATGAGTGTTGTACAGAGTAGAAAAGAGCATCTGACAGGTTCCTATCAAAGCAGGTACCACCACCATTCATGTCATGTGCACATGAGGGCTGGAGACAGCACAGCGCTCAGTAAGTGCTGCTGAGTGAGTGAATACAGGGCTCAACATCTCTCAGTAGATCGCGGTACTTTGCAAAGAGCAATGGAGTGATAATCAGGAGGGCCTGGTTCTGCCTCTCACTAGCCATGTGACCTTGCCCACATCTCCTCCCCCTCCAGGCCTCAGCTTCCTATGTGTAATTTGAGGGGGTTGGAGTAGGTGTTCCCTAAGGTGGCTCCCAGTTTTCTGACTCCATTCATATATTGCCCAAGATAAGAAAGCAATGAACACATGACCATACCTCTCTGTACCTCCGTTTACTCATGAGAATGACTGGTGACACCAGCCTCATGGGCTTCAGTGCAGTGAGACAGAGCTGCCCGGTCCACAGAATACTCCTGATCCAATGCTAATGATTAGCACTGACAGCAATGTCCATGAGTCTGGGCTCCTTCTCCGCATCAGCTGGGGATCACTGCTTCCCTGCCCAAGAATCTGTGACTTCCTGTGTCATCTTGCCACCTACACTCCTAATTAGGCAGGGCTCCAGCAGCCAGGGACGGCTGTGTGCTCTTAAAGCGCCATTCTCTGTCTGTCCTTGCTTTCCTTATCTTGAAAGCGAAGGAACTGGATCAGATCAGTATTTCCAAGGTCCTGGGAAGTGGACTGCTGATATGCAGGTTACTGGGCCCACTGACTCAGACTAGAAATGGGAATGTGTCAAAGTGCTCCAGCTAAGCTAGTTGATCTCTGAAGTTTTCCAGGACTGGCTTATCGTGAACTTTGCCCACTGTCTCCGCTTGCCCCCGTCCCAGGAGAAGTCTCCTTTAGGGCAAGATAGCTCCTGCCTAGGGCTGAGTTTTTCCCATTGGCTTGCTCAGTCTCCTGGCCCTAGAGGCAGAATCTGGCTACAAATTCCCTCTTTTGATGGTCTGGTCTGTACTTTCTGAGGAGCCCTTCTAGGTGGCAAGCTGGGAGTCCTTGGTGTAAAAATCCACCCTCTATATCCTCAGCACAGCTTGCAAACAAAACATCCCCCAGGCAGCCTCCAGGTCCCTGTGCCTCTCACCAGGGGATACCTTTGGGAAGCTCTTGACTTCTTTGAGCCTCCTTTCTTGCTCTGTCCAAGTGAGAAAATTACACTAGGTGTGTTGAATCTAGCTCACACAAACCCACAGTCTCTCCATCGGCCCTGGGCAATGGGAACTGATGCCTGGCGCTAGGCTCAGCTCTGCACAGTAACTTAAGTNCAGCTAAGCTAGTTGATCTCTGAAGTTTTCCAGGACTGGCTTATCGTGAACTTTGCCCACTCTCCCCGCTTGCCCCCGTCCCAGGAGAAGTCTCCTTTAGGGCAAGACAGCTCCTGCCTAGGGCTGAGTTTTTCCCATTGGCTTTCTCAGTCTCCTGGCCCTAGAGGCAGAATCTGGCTACAAATGACCTCTTTTGATGGTCTGGTCTGTACTTTCTGAGGAGCCCTTCTAGGTGGCAAGCTGGGAGTCCTTGGTGTAAAAATCCACCCTCTATATCCTCAGCACAGCTTGCAAACAAAACATCCCCCAGGCAGCCTCCAGGTCCCTGTGCCTCTCACCAAGGGATACCTTTGGGAAGCTCTTGACTTCTTTGAGCCTCCTTTCTTGCTCTGTCCAAGTGAGGAAATTAAACTAGGTGTGTTGAATCTAGCTCACACAAACCCACAGTCTCTCCATTGGCCCTGGGCAATGGGAACTGATGCCTGGCGCTAGGCTCAGCTCTGCACAGTAACTTAAGTAACTTCCCTAAAGGTCACCCAGCAAGTTGGTGGTGGCTCTGCAGCTGGAGCAGAGGCTCCCAGACCCCCAATGGGGGTCCTACCTTGCCTCTGAATAACAACCTTACAGGATCATTGAAATACTGTATTCATCTGCTGATAGCAGGTGCTCAATGAAAGGACATTATAGGCACCTTCTCAGCACATCTTAAGTACTTGGGTTGATGGCCACTAAAATGGGATTTATTTTAGATGCCCTAATGAG